AAGCTAAATTTCTTTAAATTTACGTACAAACATTCGTTTCTTAAAGTAGTCAAAACATTGCGTACATGGGTAATATGACCAGCTAAAGATTTAGAGTAAACAAGGATATCATCAAAATAAACAACCACAAACTTACCTAAGTATTCTCGTAAGACATGGTTCATTAGTCTCATGAATGTACTAGGTGCGTTAGTTAATCCAAAAGGCATAACCAACCATTCATAAAGACCATACTTGGTTTTAAAAGTTGTTTTTCACTCATCCCCAATATGCATGTGAATTTGATGATAACCCGATTTTAAATCAATCTTAGTAAAAAGACTACATCCATGCAACTCATCAAGTATATCATCTAATCTAGGAATTGGATGCCTATACTTATAGTTATCTTGTTTATAGCCCTACAATCAACCCACATACGTCAAGAACCATCTTTCTTAGGTACAAGAATAACTGGAACAGAACAAGGACTCAAACTTTCACATACTTACCCTTTAGCAAGGAGTTCACTTACTTGCCTTTGTATCTCTTCGGTCTCCTTTGGATTAGTCCTATATGCTAGTCGGTTTGGAATGGGCGCACCAGGAATGAAGTCAATCTTGTGTTCAATTCCTCTAAGTGGTGGCAAACTACTAAGCATCTCCTCGGAAAATAAATCTTCACACTCTTGCAAAAGCACAACAAAATCACTAGGCAAAGGGTTATGCGTGTTAGTAAAGTTGCAAGACCTCTTGCACATAAGTACAAGAATAGTCCGGTTAGAGACCAAAACATTCCTAGCCTCACTTGATCTAACATAGAAGCTTACTGATTTGGCTTTTCTCTCTTCTCTTTTTTTTTTTTTTTTTTCTCTACTCTCTTGCTTTTCACTCAAGCTCTTTTTTTCACTTGATTCTTTTTCAATCTCTGCTTTTGCATCAGCCTCTTGCCTTTTCTTTTCAAGTTTGCAATGATCAATAAATACATCTTTTGGAGACAATGGAACAAGAGTAATTTTTCTACCATTGTGAGTAAAAGCGTATCGATTTGCATACCCATGATACATTACCCGACGATCAAATTGCCAAGGTCTCCCCAGTAGTAAATCTCCAACATGCATGGATACAAAATCACATAAAACATTATCAACATATTTTCCACTAGTAAAAGAAACAAGAGCTTGTTGCTACCCGTACTTCCTCACGATCACTCAGCCATTGAGGCTTGTAGGGTCTTGGATGTGGTTGTGTCTTTAAATTAATTCTTTTTACCGAATAAACAGGAGTTCATAGTTAGCTCAGAATTAAGATCGAGTTACCTATGTCATCGAATGAAAAAAATCAGTCTCAACAGTAAACGACACTATAAAGTGAGAGTGGTTTTCTTCATGGTTCGATCTTATGCAATACTCATTGCATAGGATGCCCCCACTCACATGTCTCCACGTGTACAATTTAGTGATCACATTGTTTATATCATATACAAAAGTGGGCCGCATCCATAGTGTTCTCAGAATAAGGTACTCAGTCTTATCCCTGTACTATAGATAATTTTGACTATATACTTGAACTTGATCTACTCTTATGTATCTACATATAGTTCAAGTAATCATACTATAGTCAGAGTGTTCTTAGTTTATTGGATTTAGATTAATGATCGTAACATTTACTTTATTCAATTACTGAATAAACATCAATAATAACTTTATTGAAAGCAGAATATGTTTTTGTTTACAAACTATGAATTTTAGGACATAAAACCAACAAATCGCTTCTTGCGAAAATGTATCCAAACTTAGTCACCGGGTGGAAAAATGATTTTCTTCCGTTCTTTGTTAATTCTTGAAGCAACTTTGAAATTTTTTTTCTCAGTTCTCTCTTTCTCCTCTTTGTGCAGAATTTTGATCAAATTTGTCTTACTTGTGGCTGCTTCACTCACAAAAATATTAAAAGAACTTCAAGAGGAGAACAATGAGTAGTACTATGAATGACTCTACTATGTGTATACTCTATAAATGATAAAAATTCGTCTCAAGACTTAATATTCCCAGAAATAATAGCCCTAAGCAACCCTCATAGTAAATTAACCACCTCAGTTTGCTCATCAGTCTTAGGATAACATGTAGTTGAAAATAACAATTTGGAACCCAATTTACCCCATAATACTTTCTAAAAGTGACTTAAAAATTTAACATCCCTATCACTAATAATAATTCTAGGGATTCCATGTAATTTTACTACTTTCCTAAAGATTTGTTAATTTGGGACGAGAGGGACAAAAAGAAGAAACTTGGAGTTACCCCTAATTCCTTCAAATTTTACCCTTTTTTTTTAACTCAAATTCCCTTCACTTCCGAGCTTGTTTGCCTTCGTGATCTTCATGAAACTTCCTTCTTGAGTGCCCAGCAACCGATTGGGATTGGTTTGGAGGGAAAAATTTGTGTGTAGGCTCCCATTAGATTTTTTTAATCTTCCTTATCCATCGGTCATGAAAACTCGAATTAGGCAATCATGTTTTGGGCATTTTCAGCTTTCGATCCTTCATCAAATTCGTTGGAGAATTCATTTAGAAGCGGTAGGAATTAGTTTAAGGAAATTTGATGGACTATATTCTCTTGACTTTGGAAAACTCAGAGAGCAAGAAAATCCATAATTTAAAGGTTTCCATGTCAAGTTTTAGGAACACTCGAGGTATGATTATGGTTCCAAATGAAAGTCCCTACTTCATACTTTATAGAGGAACATTATGCTGACATTGTTTGTTCAAGAATCGAGCTTAATTTGAACTTAAATTTTTTAAAGAATCGAGCTTAATTTGAACTTAAATTTTTTAAAATATCTGTCGAAAATATTTATTCCGACAAGGACTTCGCCTACTTCAACCTAGCATATTCACCATTGGATGTGAAGAGCTATGAGTCTTCTAAAGTGTAGCTCTCAATTTTGAAAGAAAACCAAGAATATAAAACCCATAGGAAAGCTTTATTGTTGAGTTTGAGGGATCCTCAAGGCATGCTTCTTGTTCCAAATCATTGTCCAAGCTCCCAACCATCCACCGATTAGGAAAACTCTAAAAACGACCTGAATTTTAGAGTTGAAGTTTCGAGTTCCGGTTCTTCATTCAGCCTTCCACCTGTCTTCAACTTTCAAATTCCACCGTTGGATGCATAGGTAGTAGGGATTGATAGGTCATATCAAATTTTTAGGTGACATTGACGGTTGGATCTTCAGTGAAGGTGTTCTCCAATGATCAAAATCGATTTTGGATGGTAGGGGTCATTTTGCAAATATCCTTTCTACAGGCCCTCTTTTGAAATTATCCATTCCCAGTTATTTAAAAAATAAAATAAAATAATCTAAAAATTCTTCACCTTATTTATGCACTTTTTCCTTCTTGGGGCATTGAGATTCCCTTTCTATATTTAATTTAAATTCTAAAAAATTCATAAAATTGAAAAAAAAAAAATATACATTTTTGCCCTCCTTTTTTTATTTGCTTTTATTTTTTAAAAGAATTTTGTCTGGTATCCAAAATAGGGGTGAAAAGTATCTTTTCTGGAAGAAATTTATAGAACAACCTTCTAGCTCTGAAAATTTTGATTGGTCAAATCATGTCTAGTTAAAAATGTTCTTTATGCCTTAAGACAAGGTCTAAGAGTTTGGTACGATAAGCTTTGAAATTTTCTTCTCGGAAATGATTTTAAAATGGATAAGTTGATACTACTCTCTTTAATAAGATGAATCGATATGTTTTCAAAGTAAATATATGTGAATGATATCATATTTGGTTCTGGAGTACTTTGTGTAAAGAACTTTCTAAGTACATGGATAGTGAATTTTGAGACGAGTACGATGGGAGAACTTAACAATAAGAATTTGATCACAAGGTTCAAATTCAAAAAAGATACCGATGAAAAAGATATCACATTCACTAAGCTTGACAGACTCTAATCATATTCACTAAGTTTGACAAAGATGAAAAAGATACAGACGTGGACATAAAAACTTATTGAGTTATGATTGGATCTCTTCTTTTACTTAATGGATAGTATACCCAATATTATGTCTAAGGTATGTTTTTGTGTTTCAATTCACTCTGTCCTAAAAAAAAAGCATTTTCATGTTATGACTTAAATTGAACAACGGTTCAAAATGTGTTTAATAATATATTTATAAACCATAAAAAACAATTGTAATTATCAACTAAATATTACGTTATATTTGAATAATTATTAATTATTTTATGAACCTATTATAAGTTGTGTAACGTAATTTCAGAATATCCTAAAACTCACAACACATAATGTAATACATATTTAATTTTTCTAAAAATAAAATAAGCTCATAAACTATAACATCAAATGCTACCTTCACTAAGTAATTATGCATTTAAAACATGTAAATTAAAAAACTTACATAAAAACTGTTTTAAAATATTTCACTATTTATAACCCATAATTCAAAATAGTTTTGAAAACTTAAAAACAAAATTGAAAGACCATTAAAATTTTAAAATTTGCTAGGAAGAAGTGATTATATAGGATTCCAGTTATATAAGTTGCTGGGGATCGAATTTTGTGAATGAACTTGATTTAAATAAATTTTATCCTCAATTAGTAGCATTTAAAATACTAATCTAAACCCTAAACCCTATGATTCCAAACAAATAATTACAACAGAAACCAGCAGAGATAAAACCTAATAAAACAACCTTTCCTGCTCAGCTCAAAGTGGTAAGAAACAATGTCTATAGACCGGGGAGCTCAAACTCCTCAATGCTTTTCAACCAACATTGAGATTGAAATACGAACCACATTGAGTTTTCTTTGTACACTCTGTGAAGTCGAGCTCGGATTCTGTAACGGTTCAGGCTCACCACTAGCAGATATTGTCCTCTTTAGGCTTTCCCTTGAGAGGAACGCGTCTGCTAGGAAGAGGTTTCCACACCCTTATAAAGGGTGTTTCGTTCTCCTCCCCAACCGATGTGAGATCTTACAAATTCATTGTGATGACTAGTTCAGCAATATGAAAAGATTTAATGACTGAATTCCCGTAGGAGTAAACTACCTCATGAGGTTGTAGAAGCATAAGAGGTAACAAGGATAACAAGTTACAACTCTCATAGTGGTTAAATTATGAAATCCCTTTTTCCCCGTCGAAAAAGAAAATGCATACATCCCAAAACTGAAATACGATTATTGTAAACGACACCTTACGAGGTTTACTTGTCATCTCATCATCTCATGTTACCCTCCCGCAATACATCAATCATATTGTATATCCGCTTGTCTGTCTTTGACTGAATCTGCAGTAAACAACATTCAATTGTTCATTCATCCATTACAAAACTTGGACACTAACTTGATTAATAGATCCTGATCTTGAGAATGGAAGTAACAGAAAAAAGACTATTTCTTAGTTCAACCACGTGTGGAGGTGAGAGGTGAGAGGTGAGAGGTGGAGGATTGGAACCCTCTAACTTCTTGGTCAAAGAACAATAAGTAAACAAAACTAAAATTTTATTGTGATAGAAAAAAGAAAAGAAATTATACCATAATTAGTATTATAGCCTTTTGAGAAGCCCTATCTCTCTACCACAAACTAGCTCTCTAAATTATGCCCACCTCAAACTCCCCAACACTTTATTTATAACGTCAACACAAACCAACTTCTCAATAATTACTAATTCATCAATGCTAATATTTCTGACAATAATATTTCTTTATTTTCCTACTGATATTCTAACCATCTACTAGTCATTGCTAGTTCACTTATTTCTTCTATTCTAAAGTTATTTGAAAATAAGCAAGAAAATGATGGGATGGGAGCATTACCTTTTTGGCTAGGAAAAGAACAGCATCAACTGTGCCCTCGGCATAAATTGACCTACCACAAACATTATGCTGAAACTCAAAAGAAACTCTGCAAGGAAAACAAATAAGCCTTCACTCACTGACTCAATACATGGAAATGTAATTAAGAATATATAAACAGTTCCTTTGTTCATGAAAGGAGAGGGAGGGAGATGATATTACGTCTTGTCTGGTGATGTCAAGTGATACATATGGAATGCGTGGCCAGATAAATGCTCCTCTGGAACTCCCACCATTTCAATCTGTTGCTTGGGATCCCGGATCAATTTTATCTAAACACATCAAGATTGTTAGAAAAAGAATAGTCAACATGAGCAAATTAATCCAAATTATAATTGTCGTCTCTCCTATGTGATCTAATTACATATTTGAAAGTGAAATGAGTTAGAAAAAATGTTTCCTCTGCACACCTGATCCACATCAAAAGAGACACCTAATTTCTGGAAGCAAGAAATGACTGCCTTGGCAGTTCCAGATGCATCCACCTTGCTTGCTTGATGAGACTCCATCACCTAAAGTTTTTATCAAACAGTTTGTCTCAAAAAAGAAAATTTTCAACAATGATATACACCAGTAGATCATTTATGGGACGTAGTGAACCATTCAATGTTGAGTTGTTGGGATAAAAGACTTAAGAAATGAATGTAGAATAACAAGGCATTGACTGTTATAAGAATAATATAGAAAAGAAAAGAAAATTGAAGTTCACACAGAGTTCATTTGTTAAAGCAATCTCAATAACAAAGGTTAGTGCTCCCCCAATTTTAACGCTCGGTTTAGAAGGCATGGTGCATATAGTAACACAAACCTCCACTGACCACTATTATCTCTCTTTGCTTCTTCTTATTTTTTTTCTTCTTCTTCTCCTATTGTGGATTGATGTCAAAAAATGTACAAGAGTTGGACGACCAAGAAATGCAGAGACATTTACCTCCAACGAATATCCAGAGAAGGCCCCAGGAAACTGCTCCGACATTATTTCCATGGCAGCAAGGAAGGCAACAACCTATCTACCCCAAAACACAATCAGAAAATGAAAGAGAAGATCCCAAAATCTAGAGTGAATAAGGATCAACATCAACCAGAACGTAACAATATCAAATCACCTGTTTGCCCATTTGTGGGGAGATTACTGCATAAACCTCCGAGTCATCCACAGTTTTATACAACCGATCTCTATCTCCACCAGTTGTTCCCATCACAAAAGGAACTCCAACTTTACAGTAAAGCTCTGCATTATCTGCAACAAGATGGACAATAAAATGAAGCTCGAATATTTATCTCATGAGAAACCAAATTTTCACAGAGCAAATGGAATGAAGCTTGTCCCGAGGTAGTTTTATTGCAAGAGGCCAAGCTCCAGAAAACTACTTGAAACTTGATTAACTCAGTAAGAGGTGGCTACTCATTATCAATCTTAATTTCCATACCTATGCAATAAAACATGGCGCTTAGGTGGAAAATTTACTGTGATTCATTGGTCCTATGCCCTTTGGGAAGAAGAATAACAACAACACATGATGAAATAAACTCAATCATTGTGGAATTAGATTTAATTGGAATTTCTGTCTGATGGGAAATATTTATGGTCGAGCATGAGTGAGAACTCCATTCAATCTCTTCTTGGTCATTTTTTTGTTATGAATCTCTTAAAAAGTCTCTTCGAAAAAGTAAGGAAAATACTCTCTTCTCACTACTCCCTTACGTTTCCTTCCTGGTAGTTTCTGGGTTAGCAAAAAAACAGAAAAAAGAAAGAAAAATTTGTCGCCTCTGCTCATTCCTCCTCTAGTCATTCCAGTTCTTAAGCTTATTAATATCAATTGTGAGCAAAAATAGCGTGCTACATAAATTTTCACTTGTAGTATCCTAAAAAACTGTCAACCTTCACTGTTGAAATTGTAGACAGATTACTGTATATCGAACACTGTCATTACCATTTACAGCAGAAGGCACAGTGTAGTCCACCACAATCAAATTTGGATATTCATCAAAAACTGATGCGAGGACATCTGCCCTATTAGAAGGTCCATGAACCAAAATGTCCTTTCCAGATGCTTGTATAGTTAGTCCAGACTCCTCCAAGGAACCAAATGATACTGGTACAACATTGAGGCCAGCAGAGTCAGCAGCTTTGATAACAGCCTTTCCCATCTTTCCGGAGCATCCATTTACCTAAGCACCATGAGAGAATGAAGCACACAATCGAAGCCACATACGAGATTCCAATAACTTATAGTAAATCCAGGCAAGAACTAAGATTACGAGGGAAGTAAGTAAGCACTGATAATACAACTTTTTAATGAAATAACATCTGAAAAAGCACTAAAAAATGACGCAACATGCCTCCATGATACTTAAGAAAGCTAATTTCAGCACTACGACGGTAAGAGGTCTTATGAAATAAAGCAGAGTTAATATCAGAGAATCATTGTCAAGTATTTAGGTCATTTATGAATCAAAATTCATAGGGAACATATTAAATTCATAATCCTGAAGGATATCCAAAAATAACCTAGGACGTATGGTGAAACGCCAAATACCATAATGGAGAGGTCCAAATTCTGAGAGGAAGAGGCACCGGTTTGAAGTTGTTGAAGCGGCGATGTTGCTGACATTGACGACATGGATCTCACACAGAAAAACCTGGGCGTCCGATAAACTACCCCAGCGGAGGAGAACGCCGGGCGGAATGAATTTGGGGATACACTGAGAGAAGGAACCATTATCGACGGCGGAGGCTGACTGAGAGAGGTATAAGGTGAAGCGGCTGGTCAATTTGGCTAAATGGCATCCTATTTTTTCTTTTTTTAATTAGGGTAAAATGCCCCTTTCGAACCAAAAAAAATGAAAATACGTTAATGACAATTTTACCCTCGTATATAAATAAAAAAATGACCAATTTTTACCGAACCTGTCACGGCAACAAAATGTCCCTTTCATGACAATTTACCTCTATTTTTTAAACAAAGATCAATTTTTACATTTAAACTTGTCATTCAGAGTTAAAATTAAACGTCTTCGGGTCGGGAACCCTTCCCCGTCTCCTCTTCTATTTTCATCTTCACTCGAAATTTCTATTTTATTGTCGTTTCCCGCCTCATTCGTCTAACAAACAGAAATTTCTTATGAATCTAGATGTACATGACATTCTACAAGAATTTTCAAAGCTTCAACAATATTTCATTTGAGAAGGTGAAAATAAATGATTTTCCAAATTAGGAGAGGAAAAAGGTTGATGAAAGAAAATGTGGTTAGTCTGGATCGAAAACGGCTCAAACCTTTAAAAAAACAAAAGAAAACTTGAAAACGTTGTATGTCGGTAAAAAAACAATTTATCTACCCTACATGTTACAACTTTCTTTTATTTTCTGGGTCCCATCTACTTCATCCGAAGACTCAACACTTTCCCATTTATCATATTTCTCTCGTCTTTTAAACTCAAACCATAAACTATGTTATTGAAGCATTCAAATTAAACTCAAACCAACCTATAACATTATTAAAAGTATGAGAGGTTATTAATGGTTTGTATTTAGTATTTTTTTTTTTTAATCAGACTTTAATAATTATTTTTAAAGTTCAGATTATTATTATAAATCACGGCTCTCGCCCACCAGCGGCCCCAGTGGAGAAAATGACATCCATACTTCCACACTACGCTTTCCTCTCGTCCAACCTCCCTCCTTCATTGCATCATCATTCTTCTTCTTCTTCTTCTTCTTCTTCTTCGCTAATCCCAGTGTCTCATTCTTCCATCATTCAATATCCTTTCCCGATCATCGATGCAGGTCTTCCGCCAGACCTCTGCCCACGATGTCAATCCCTGGCCGCCTGGCGTCCGCTTTCACCCAACTGATGAGGAGATCGTAATGCGATTTTTGAAGCCCAAGATATGTGACCCAAAAACTCAGTCCGACTATGTCACCGATATCGATTTCTATAAGTCGGAGCCCAAGGAGTTACCTGGTATCTCTCTTTTTCCCTTTCCGATTCTATTTTAGGGTTAGGTTTTCAGTTCGGTTTGTTTTGAAGCTAATTCTTTTCTGAAGATCAGCTTCAACTTTGGGTGTTCTGTTTGTGTTATCCGATTCATTGTTTTTGTGGCTCCGACCCTAGTTTCTACTTGGTTGAGTCATCGATGTTGATTTCGGATTAGTTCATTTGGGGTAATTTTCTTGCATTGCTGGTGCTTCTTTGCGAATTCAATTGGTTAATCTATGGTTTCCTGCATGTCTCAGTTTCTGATCCTTCAATCTTTGCACACGCTGATTTAATCTCTGATTACTAGTTTTCATTTTTCCGCTTTACCCTTGGACCCGAAAGTGCCGTGGTTCTTTCTTATTTGTTTTAGTCTTCTTCTTATGTGACTTCTTGATTACATGTAACCTCTTGCTTGATTTGTTCGTAGTTCTCCATTTTTGTTAAGAGTATTGATGGAAAGCTTTTGTTGGGAGTGTAAATATTTCTGATTTCTGATTTCCGTTAATTACAACCAATAATTTGTTGGGTTATGCTTATGGTTTGAGCTTGGTTTTAATTACAAGCAACTATGTTGCTATGTCATTCTGTATTGTTTATTCCTGCGTGAAGCTAAATGCTTATTTTGGCATATAGGTTCTAATAATTGAATGCAATACAGGGCTTTCTAAGCTAAAAACTGGTGATAGATTATGGTATTTCTTCAGTCCAATAGTTCTGAAGTTCGGAAATAGGGCAAAATCAGTGAGGACAACCGGACATGGTTTTTGGAAAGCTACTGGTAAGAAAGTGTTCGTTAAAAGTAATGGTCGCACTGTAGGACTGAGGAGGACATTTGTTTTCTATAAACGTCATGCCTCTATCCGTGAGCGTACTGACTGGGTAATGCACGAATACACCTTAGAGGAGGAGGAGCTGAAGAGATGCCCAAATGTTCAGGTAAACATGTTCTTGAACTTGTCCCTTTTTCCTTTTATAAGGTTGTTAGTGATTGCCAAGGTCTTGTGTTCTTTATTTCAGGTCTGTTATGCTGTTTGTAAGGTCAGGGAAAAGAGTGGACCTGGTCCGAAAAATGGTGAGCAGTATGGAGCACCAGTCAATGATGACTCAGTTGATCAAGAGGTGTTGGTTGAGGAACCTGAGATGGATAATGTTGTTCCTGGTTCACAATGTCATAGCCTTCCAAGGTCCATTGAAACGTTTGATTCCGAGCAGCAGCCGAGTAAGGCACCAGAAAGCCTCAACCTTACTGAGTCAGATATGTCTCAATTGCCACCATCCCAGACACCCAACGCCGAATTCGCCTTCAACTTTTCCGAACTAGATAGTAGTTCATGGGATGGCGATTTTATGGAAATCGCGGATATGCTTCCTGAAGCTTGTTTAAACACTGAAAACCCATCTGGATCTGGGAACTTGTGGAATGAAGCCTTGAACAATTTGATGGATGAGCTCGATCGAAGGCATGATGTGGAGATGGTTTATAAAGAATTGGGTATGTTTCTAGATGATTTAGGGCCTTCTGAGGATGATGGAACTGTTCCAATGGCAGAGCAGAATGAAAATGTGAATCATGCAGCAAACACCATGGATGTTCCGTTACAATCCATAATGAAATCCTCTTCTCAAGGAAAATGATACTTTTTTTTCTTTTTTTCTTTTTTCATTCTTGATCTTAAAGAAATAGAGAAATTGATGTGTGTATAAATGGATGGAATTATATCCATGAAATTAGAAGTAATTTGTAGCATAAATTTTGCTGGTTTGAGAGTTTTTGTAGTTGGGTCGATTCTGGTTGAAGTTTGATCCATCATGGCAAGCTTCAATACTTTTTTTGAAGGAGAGGTTTATATTATTTATATTATTTTAAAATTCGAACCCCCACAGGACCTATGACTATATGCATATATGTATATTCTTTTTAATTTAAAGAAAAGCAGGTTCAGAGTTCGCTTCAAAATCAAACTCAACGAGCAGCATCAAATGAACATCGTAGGCAAAAAAATGCTTAGGGTAACGTGGTAATGTAGAGCCAAGTGCACCGTAAAACCATAAGTAAACTCCGAGGGTGCTTACATTAACAGTGTTTAGGAGCTTCAAAATCATGACTACTACACGTAGATCTCTTAAGAGTATTTTTATACTCATTCTTGTATTTTTATGCTCATAGGCGAGACTGCTACAGAGTTATGTGGCAGTGGAGGGGAACCTTAGATCCGTGTCACATATTTTTTTTTTTTTATTTGTAGTTTTGGAATCCTAATTATGTTGTAAAATAGTTTGCATTTATAACTCTCGAATATTGTTGTAAAAGTTTGATTTCAATTTTTATTATTTGCTTGAAATTGTTTCGCTTCATCACCCATTTTAAATAAATGAAAATTTTTATCACCATTTTAATCATAGAGTCTATATATCAGTCCGTGATTCAAAGTCTCGAAAAATGGGTCATTACAATTTAAGTGTAAATACACAAGGGAATGGAATACAAAATAAGATTGGGAAAAATTGACACAAACTAGATGGAGGTTCTAGATCCTAGATTTGGCTCTCTATGACACCTACTCCAAATCCTCTTTCATCCTCGATAGATGTCTAGTGGTTATTTGAAAAATATGTAGAAACTAGAAAGTATAAAACTAAATAAATAGTCTACTTGTATGCTCTTAATTGTGTCTATGATGGATGATAGGGTATTATACTCTAAAACATGACCAAAGACGGAACATGATTTCTATTGCGAGTACATTGGTCCCAAGTCATGGGTTCTTAAGTTTATGAGGGTTGGTTAATTTGGTGCCTAGCCCTAGCTTATGCAGTTGTATGATCATCGGTCTTTGGGCGAAATTAAGTAGTGATTGGGCTGCCCACTTCCACTCCATACACAATATATAGGGTTACTCCTGATCTTAAAACATTGCCCCTAAAAGACCTATAACTTATGATTCTCGAGAAAACGTTCAAATTAGGTCCTTAACTCATGATTTATCATTGACCCATTGCGGTTCGGTATGAGATGCTACACTTCGAGCTTTTGGAGGATTTATTCTTGCATCCTTGTCCCCTAATCTTGCCACCATAACTTAAAAAACTTCAAGGCATACTTGGTCGCATTGGTGCGTCTCTCGAGCTAGGCCATAGAGATGAGGTGAATTCCTAGACCGTCTACAAAACCTAAAACTTGGGTGCTCCAATATCAATCTATCACAATCTGCTTTCCAAATTTGCCCAGAGCATGAATCACGACTTAAATGGGGGCAAAAAAAGACGGACAATTTTTTTTTTTTATATTAAAAGGGAAGGAATTTAATTCTAAAGTATAAATAAATTATATTTGTAACATCTAAAACAAAATTTAAGTTCAAATTTGAAAAGATAAGAGTTACAAAATGACACACAAAACATGTTGGAGATTTTGGTTCTTTAGGCACGGTGCATGACTACCGTACCTATGATTTGGAGTTAGCAGTAGTATTCACTCTCAAAATATGGTGGCACTACTTATATGGGGAGAAGATACAAGTACAAACCGACCATAAGAATCTTAAGTATATCTATTTATACAAAAAGATATGAACATGGGACAAGCATGGGTTAGAATGAGGGAAGAATTATGATTTAGGAATCTTTTACCATCTAGGTAAAACCACGTAGTGACTAATGTAATAAGCAGGAAGATAACTCACTCTTCTGCATTAATTACAAATTAAAAGAAGCTACCAGAGGAGATGCAGGAAGCCAAAATGGAGATTATTGTCAAGGGCACATGACACGATTGATGTAGTTAACTATCCAACCGAACTTGAGGGCTC